CCCTTTACGGACAACCCTTTGCCAACTGATGATGATGGTTTCTACTCATTTCTTTCGTTCAAATCCTTCGAATTCAAGTTGTTTGAACTTCTTTAAAAGTCAGGGACCCTCTTCCATACAAGAGGGTTTATTTGAAGTGAGCATGTGACTTAGGTAAAGAACACAACAATAACAACTATTGATCTTCATCATTGATGGAACATCAATATTTTCAAGATCAAGAATCAGGTTGCTGAACGTATCCAGATGCTCTGTCAACACTTTATCTTCATTCATCTTGAATGAATACAAAGCTTGCTTCAAGTACAAACGATTCTTCAAGGATTTTGTCATATACAATCCTTTGAGTTTCAGCCAAACACCTGTTATCGTCGTCTCCTTCGAAACCTGCCTGAGAACCTGTTAGATGCCAAATTTCACTTATTTGATCTATCAAAAGTTGGCATTTTCACTCATTTTCGTCAAATAAATGTAGAAAACCACTCTTGTTTTGTTTGGTTTGCAATATAGTGTGAAAAGCTCTTGGTACCTTTGATTTGTGTGTTATTGTGCAGGAATTAGGCACAAAACAAGTGAAGAGTAAGACACAAGAAATGGGCAAGGAAACCAAGACAAGATGCAAACCACCAAAATGCTGTCATGCTCACTAGGCGAAATCAGAGCTGCTGGAAGAAGCTGGAATCTGTCATGCTCGCCTGGCGAAGCCCAGCGAGTGCCAGCGAAGGTTCGCTTGGCGAGTGCTGGCGAGCCAGAGCGAGTAATTCAACTTAAACTCCCAGACCAAAAGGACATAAAGTTCTCCTGGCGAGTGGAGCCTGCGAAGGTTCGCCTGGCGAATGATTCCTTCGCATGGCGAAGGTACGATGGCTCAGAAGGGCGGTTTGCTGCTGAAGGCACTTTGAAGTGCCTTGTTTCTGTTGTTCGCCTGGCGAATGTCCCTGTTCGCCTGGCGAATGGGCGGAAACAGAACATCTTTTTGTGCTATATTTACTGCTTTTTAGGTCATAACTAAGGGACTTTTTATTATTTTCCATCTTGTAACATGGGGGAACATCATAACAGAGAGAGAGAGAAGTAAAACCCTATGAAGGAGGAGGTAAGATCTTCGATCTCTTGTTGGGGTTTGGATTGTAGTCTTTTGATACCTTATGTATTTCATCTAATATATGTTTGTGAACTTATTTTGGATTCTCTATTGATTGAATATCTTTGATTATGTATTTGTGGGTCTTGACAAAACCTTTTCACATCTTTGATCTCAGATTTTTTTCTATCAATGAACAAACTTTTGACATGGTTTTGAAGTTGTTATTCATGTATCTTCTATGGTGTTGTGTTGATTAAGTAGCATGGGTAGCATGGGTAGGATCAATATGATATTGTGTGGGTATGTGATAATAGTGATGAAGAACGATGTTCACCGACATTTGGCGGATTAGATGAATACATGTAAAAAGGGTTAAGCGTGTGTACGTATTCTGATCATTGTATTTTATGCAAAACAATTGTTTATCTGATATGGGTTTCATTCTTGTTTACCTGTTAATCTTTGATTTGAATCGTGATAGAGATATACTTTTCGGATCTGGATCTAGGATGATTGCCTGTTAGGTCCTAAACGCTAGAGATAGATTTAGGCTTAGCATTTGCGTGAGTATCAGTTCATAATGCTCCGTGTTGTCGAGTTGTGTGAGAGATCAACAATGAGACAACATGGTTGTTTTCTCGACGACGCGTTAGAGATAAGCTTTGTCGTGAGTGATACGCGAGGATTTTAGACGAATGATTGCGCTGTGTTTAATTTGATCAGAATAATGCATATGTTATCAATTGATGAAATCCAATCCCAACAAGCCTCTGTTTATATTTCAGTCTTTATTTATATTTTCTGTTTTTATTTATGATTCCTTGTGCTTTTAAATTAAACCTTTTGAACAAAAAGTTTAGAAATATGGAAATCGTTGAACGGCGTTCAAATCGCACTGATCCCTGTGGAGACGACAAAACTGGGTTACTTAATATTTTTTGCTTGCTGCTTTACCGCACCAACAGAACCTTATCACCAAGACTCAAAACAATTACACTGTGAGCTTTCTTGATCACCGCTGTCTTTTCCTTCTCTCTCAATGCAACATCCATGACATCTTCTCCCTTTAGCGCTTCTAGCAAGCCCTGTTGAACAAGAACGGTTCGCATCTTCAAACGCCATAAACCAAAGTCCTTAACTCCGGTGAACTTCTCAATTTCAAACTTTGTTGACGACATCTTCTCCATGTTGACCGCACCAGTTTGTTGTGATCACAAATAATACCTTTCAACAAATAAAGATTGAGAAACAAAGTTCTTGGGTGAACAACGAAAACAGTTAGAACAAAGATAGAAAGAAGAAACGATAAGGAAGAAATAAGAAGAAGGATTATGGAACATTGTTATACTATTCACTTTTTCATTTAGGATTTTCAAATGATTACAAATAAATAACACAATTGGTCTCACTCAACAACCTGAGTGCTCTAGCCTATATAGACTAACTAGTTAACTTACAATCCAAGCTAACTAAATAATTGAATCCTTAACACAAGGTCCAATTGGACAATCATTTTGACAATACATATTAGAACAACCTTCGACTATAATATGTATCCTTCGACTACAACATGCGACTCATATTCGACTTCATGCTTGTCTCCTGTCGAAACACATGAAAGTTATTCCTAGACATAGCTAGAGTTCGACCTAAAATATCACAAATATAAATCATATCACAAGTAACAATTACACAATTTATTAATTTCATGCAGCACATGTGTATCGTCTTTTCAAGCAATTTGTATTAATTAGATTTTAAATAAATTATATTATATTATATCACATAATATATTAATAGACACGAATCTAAAATCTGGCTCTGATACCAATTGAAGGATTTAAATTTTATCGAATAGATACAAATTATAGCATATTGTTATATTAAAGAATAATCGACAATGATAAGAACGATGTACCTTATAGAATTTGAGAGACGGCTGAAGAAAGAGTGACTATGAGAGAATTACTACCCTCATTGTCATTTAGGATTTTCAGAGTATGTTAATTGTATAATGAGTAGACATTTAAGTAGTTAAACAGCTGAGGGCAATAACCTCTTATTGAGCTTAATTGAATGGTTCAACCCATCACGGTCCATTCAGGCATAAAAGTCAATCAAACAACTCATCTATTTAGTGTTTAATAATAATAGACCATAACACAATTAATTAATAATTATTTATATCAATCCATATTTGATTAATTAAATAATTAATCTAACAAATGTATGTCTATCAATTTTAAAAGCATTACGTATTTAATATAAGTGTTAGTTTATTTCAACAATGAAATTTTTTAAAACTTTTTATTTTTTTAAAAACTTAAATTAGTATGATATTTTATAATTGATCTATTTATTTTTAATAGGAATGCAGATAACAGATGCAGGTACAAATACATACATACCCACAGGGTACGAGTACGCTAACTTTGGCGTCCAAACATGTATGGGGTCGGGTACAAAGATTTTCTCAAATCGTGGATATGGGGTCGGGTAAAGAGATTTTTTCAAATCGCGGGTATGAAGACGAGTAGTATAATATCCTGCCCAAACCCTGCCTATTACCATTTCTAAAAATAATTATCATAGTTGATCATTTTACACTATTAAAAAAATAATATAATAAACAAAAGAGAAAGAATAATATTTTTATCCTATTATCTTTGTTTATTACATTATTTATTTATTCTAATTATCATAAATGAAAAAAATAGTAAATTAAGAGAATTAATTAGAGGATATAAATGAAAGATAAACATTAAAATTACATTAAAAAGTAAAATATTATACTTAGTTTGTGACGAATAATTTTATAAGATACAACAATTATTTTGGGACAAAGGAAGTGTTACTTTTTTACATCATCACCACACGTATCAAGTTCATTAAACTCACTAATATGATTCAGATATCAGTTATGTCATCAAATGAATTAGAGTTGCGAAAAATTAGTAATAATCCTCTCTAGCGGGTATAATTTCAATCACCACTAAATCAACTACTCTCTCTGATTCTTTTTATAAAAAACACTTCACTTTTTTAAACATGTTAAATAATTAATGTATCTGGTCTGCATTATAGACTAAATACATTTATTATTTATTAAATTTAAAAAATAAAGTGTTTTCCATAATTAATATTATATTACATGATTATTTTAAAAATGAAAACGTGATTTTTCTGGAGTCCAATGAATAGTGGCCCCATGATGAGAGTAGCAGCCTGTAAGAAATAGACACGCATCAAGAGAAAGCTGTTTGTCTGTTTGTTTCTCTTTTTCTTTTCACTACTTACCCATTCATTCCTCGTGCTACAATTTCAATGCTCGTACAAGTAATTACCCAATCTCATTCATAGCCACATTTTCTTCATCTCTTCTTATCTATATAACCATTTACAATCTCCATCTTTTTTCTTCATCTTCCTAAATAATCTTCACTATCTTTCTTCTATATATTCACAATTTCTATCATCTTTCTTCATCTAAATCTTTTGAATGTTTGGGTATTCACCCTGTGTTGACGCGTTGTAGACATCACGGCTTTTCTTAGAGTTTATCGCTCTCTTTCTCATGCCCGCACTTCCAGACGTAAGGGTTCTTCTTTAACTCCTACTAACCCTTCGCCGCACGGTGGTCGTGGTGCTCTGCCTTCTGAAGGTGGTAGCCCCTCCGATCTCCTCTTCCTTGCTGGTGGTGGTTTCTTTCTTTCTTCCTCTTCTCTCTCTTTCTTCTAGCTTCTCTCTCTCTCTTTAGTTTAACTTTCCCTTAGATTCTTCTTATCAAGTTAGATTTCCTTGAAGGTGCTTCTTTTTCCTGTTGTTGTTATTGTTGTTTCTGTTGTTGCTGCCGTTGTTGTTGTTCAATCTTAAAAGACAAAAAAAGAGTTTTTTTTAGTGTTTGTTTGTGAAAATGATGCTCAAAATCAAAAGGGTTCCTACGGTTCTTTCGAATTATCAAAAAGAGGAGGGTTCTGAGGCTCCTCGTTCTGTCGGAGGTTGTGGTCGGAATTGTCTCAAAGCTTGTTGTATTCAAGGTATTTGTTTTTTTTGTTGACAGTTTTTTTTTTATCACCTTGCATGTATTATTGTTTAGTTTATTTTTTGTGGTTTTGGTTTTGTTGATAGATGCGAAGCTTCCTTTGTATGCTTTTAAGAAGACTGACAAAGTTGGTGGAAAGGATTTGGTGGTTGAGAAGTGCCAAGAGGAGCTTCCTTTTGCCTTTTTGGACTCACTTGTTCTTGGAGAGGTGATTGTTGAATTTTGATTATGGAGAATGAAGGATTCTAAAGTTTTGAAATTTTGTTTTAATGGTCTTTTACTTTACCCCTTTATTTCAGTGGGAAGATCGCGTGCAAAGAGGACTTTTTCGCTATGATGTTACCGCCTGTGAAACCAAGGTTTGATACTTTGATTCTTTGTTTTTGTGAGTTTGTGTGTATTGTGTTGTGCTTTTTGGAGATCCATCAAAATACTTTGATTCTTTGTTCTTTGTGTTGTATTTTTTGGAGATGCATGAATATGCTTTGATTCTTTGTACTCTGTGTTGTGCTTTTGGGGAAGAATAAGATTTGGTTTTGAGCTTAGTTTTGATGTGTTTTTTGGTGGTAAATTTGGTATAGGTGATTCCGGGTGAGTATGGTTTCGTTGCTCAGCTCAACGAGGGTCGTCACCTCAAGAAGAGACCAACCGAGTTCAGAGTCGACAAGGTTCTTCAGCCTTTTGACGGAAACAAGTTCAACTTCACTAAAGTTGGACAAGAGGAGGTTCTGTTTCAATTTGAAGCTAGTGAAGACGGTGAAGTCCAGTTCCATCCAAATGCTCCAATTGATGTTGACAATTCTCCCAGTTTCGTTGCCATCAACGTAAGATTCTTAGTTCTCGTTCGTAATTTTTCCTTGTAATTGGTTCATTAAGGCTAGAATAGATGTTTTATATGATGTTTGTTTTCTCGAAAACAGGTTAGTCCTATTGAGTATGGGCATGTTTTGCTGATCCCTCGCATTTTCGAGTGTTTGCCTCAAAGGATTGATCATGAGAGCTTATTGCTTGCACTTCACATGGCAGCTGAAGCCGCTAATCCATATTTCCGTTTGGGTTACAACAGCCTCGGTGCCTTTGCAACTATTAACCATCTTCACTTCCAGGTACTGGACACTATAGCTTATCCTGTCGTGTTTCTATTTACAATATCCCGAGCCTAATGGTCTTTGTTGATAATTTTGTCCGCGTGTCATGGTTCGATGTCATTAATCCAATTGAGATTTGGTGTTTTTGTTTGACATATGCAGGCTTATTATTTGGCTATGCCCTTTCCTATCGAGAAAGCTCCCACTAAGAAAATTGCAACTTTGAACGGCGGAGTGAAGATGTCTGAATTGTTGAAATATCCGGTTCGAGGTCTTGTCTTCGAGGGCGGCGACACGCTTGAAGATTTATCAAAAGTTGTTTCAGATGCTTGCATCTCCCTACAAAACAACAACATACCTTACAATGTTCTTATTTCTGACTGCGGAACACAAGTGTTTCTGTTACCACAGGTAAAGCAAATCTCAAACTAAGTTCCTCATATAAGTGCTTATGTATAAACACTATTTCTAACAAAAAATTGTGAAACAGTGTTATGCAGAGAAACAAGCTCTTGGAGAAGTGAATGCTGAGCTTCTTGACACCCAAGTGAATCCTGCGGTGTGGGAGATTAGTGGACACATGGTTCTGAAGAGGAAAAAGGATTTTGACGAGGCGTCTGAAGCCAATGCTTGGAGGCTTCTCGCAGAAGTTTCACTCTCCGAAGAGAGGTTTCAAGAAGTCAATGCTCTTATCTTTGAAGCTATCGCCTTTACTGAAGAATCAGATGACAATCCTCAATATCTTCCTAAAGATGATGGCGTCAACTCTGTCGACCCGAGCAGGTACCCTGCTGTGGTGGCTGGTTCGCAAGAATGTGTTGTTTTACAGTAACAACAACAATGTTCTAAGTGAATAAGTTCAGTGATTGTGTGGTGAAAATTTGCTGAGTTATGTGTTGTTGAAATAAGTACCTTCAATGGTAACACTTGTTATGCCTAATGTTTGTGTTTTGTATTATTGTACTTTCTGTTATGGCTTTCATCTTTCATCTTGCCTGAAATAACAACTTCATGTAACTGTATTGCATCGGATTTCTAGATGCACACTTGTAATAAATGATTATTGTATTTTTAATTTTGCAACTGTCGTAGTTCAAAATTTTGGCAATTTTTATTTTATATTAAATTTTTTTTTTAAAGTCAGGTTCCAGTTGTGTTAATAGTCGGTCGGTCACAAAATCGGATAACAATTTTTCTAAAAAATATGTACACTACACTATTAACAAAAAGTAAAGAAAACTTCAATTACTGTTTTTTGTATAGATGCATAGAACTTCACACAAGAAAAAAAAATGCAAAAAAATTTGATACAGTTATGTTATGGACAGATTTTATCTTGATTAAAGTTTAAGTTTGTTAAGTGTCATAAAATGGCACTGGTCCTACAATCTGATACAATAATGAAAAAGAAAGGATAAATACCTACAAGCATTTAAGGAATATGCTATGTTTGGTTTAATATAAGGTACATTGGTCTCATCTCATAGTTTTTTGGGTCCATATATTTTTTCATCTCATAGTTTTTTTTTGGACCACACACAATATATTTTTTATCTCATAGTTTTTTTTCGGATCTCACAAACACACGCACAATATATTTTTTTATCTCAGTTTTTTTTTATCTCACACACACACATATTTTTTCATCTCATATTTTTTTGGACCCCACACACACAATATATTTTTTTATCTCATAGTTTTTTTTATCTCTCACACACATTTTTTTTATTTCATAGTTTCACATACACACGCGCGCAGATACGCACACGCACACGCGCACACACACAGTCAAGAGAGCAAGAAGAGACCCACGGGCAAAAGGCCGACGATCGCCTTCGCCCATATCTAATGGTCGATCGCGAACTCCTTCTCTCCGTCGGGATCACGATCCTCGCCCAAGCAAAGATACCCGCTCACGTTCGAGGTCGAGCAATTACAGTGACGATGAAGAGCCTCGAGGCCCATTATCCCAAGAGATCATGGCCACTCGACTATCCAGGGGGCTGGAGAAGCCTTTACACCTGGGCACATACGACGACACAACAGATCCTGACGAGCACATCGAGAACATCGACGCCTTGATTGACTACCGCAACGCCATCAAATGAAAATTGTTCCCGACAATGCTGAGGAAGAGAGCAATGTTCTGGTACAAGAGTCTCCTCTACGAATACATCACCTCGTGGAGGCAGTTGGGGAGGATGTTCTCCAGATATTTTACGCTCTCTCACCGCCACCCGAAGACAAAAGCCTCCCTCGGGGCCATCATCCAGGGAAGTGACGAATCTCTTTGAGCTTACATCGAAAGATTTAACAAAAAAGCCGTTCAAATCCCCACGACTGACGACATGAAAAATATTTTCTAGAATGCGGGCTCCGTCCCCGCAGCGAGTTTGCCTAGGCTGTTTGCATTGAAACCCCCGCAACACTGGATTCCCTCATCCCCAAGGTTCAGGTATACATCCAGTATGAAGAAAGGAAGCATCCAACACTGCTCGGGACTCTAGGAACCGGGAGAACATCAGGTCCTCGAAGCACAATGAAGCCTCGACATCTCGTCAGGGAGCCGAGAAAAGAAGAATGAACGCCCCCGGGAATCCCGATATCATAAAGGGCCGTCTGGCCGGTTCTATGAATACACGCCACTGACCACCTCGCGCGAGAAGATTCTCTCTGAGTGCGTGAATGCGGAGTTCCGACAGGCAGAGGTCAGTTTCCCAAAGCGAATACTTGTCAGGCCAAACACGAACAAAACAAAATGTTGTCGGTTCCACAAGAGCCACAATCACATGATAGACGAATGCATCCATCTCAAGGATGAAATTAAGATCCTGATCAGAGACGTGCATTTGAAGCAGTTTGCGAGGAAGAAAGACGCTCCTTGACAGAAGGCCCAAGATTCAAAGAAGGTTGAGGAAGAAGTGCCATCCTCGGACGACACCAGCCTTCAAGTCGCCATGAGCATTCCGCGGCCAGAATATTTCTGTGTCCCTCCTTATTTCGCCGCATATATCCCCTAGGAAGCCTTCCTTTCCTCTATGGTCATATCAGGCGGGGGATTCAACAAAGTGACTGTGGGATCCGTAAAGAGGAAGTTCGAGTACCTCATCAACACAAGCTCGAGCCAAAGCTCTACCCTCGACAAGGTCCGGGGAGAATCAAATCCCATCACCTTCTATTGGGAGGAACTCCTTGGTGGAGCCCCTAACTCCAGTATTCCCCTACTCATAAGGGTGAAGATGGTCAACTTCGACGTGCGGCGAATCCTAGTCGATCCGGGAAGTTCGACCAATATTATGTATTCTCAGTTGTTTTCCACACTTCAGCTGGATGAGTCGCATATGTTGGCTCTGATCTCCAAGGCTTTAACGGTTTACCCATGAAGCCCTGGGGATACACGGAGTTGATCATCACCTTCGAGGCAGCGGAGACAGCCAGGTTCGTCAAGGTCCAGTTCCTGATGATTGACTGTACATCCCTTTATCAGTGCATCTTCGAACGACCAATGCTGGCCGAGTTGATAGTCGTGCCCTCTACGGTGCACCTGAAGATGAAGTACTACACTTCCAAAGGGCTCGTCACTACCTTGCATGGGGATATAGAAGCAACAAAGAGGTGCTTTGAGGCAACCTCAAAAGGGATAAACACCATCACCACTCGACCAACTACATCCAGCAGACTTGTCCTGTCTTGCAGCTCCGACGAGGCAAACCCTCGACAACTGTTTCTCCAGAGACGACCTGCGGGACCAGAAGAAGAAGAAGGGGAATGAGCCTCATCTAAGCTCGAGCAGCCCTTTCACATCATCTAGCAGCGACCAGACCGCCCATTCGATGCGACCAATCCTGGATGGTGAGTTCAAACTAGTTCTGCTCGGTGAAAACCCCCAGAATGGAGTGAAGATAGAGACCGACCTCCCCGACCTCACGAGGAAGCAGCTGAAAGCCTGTCTCCAGGAGAATGATCTGTTCGCATGAAGCACCTCAGAGATGCCCGAGCTAGATCCTGAGGCGGCCTACCACCAGCTCACCATCGACCCCGCCGTTAGGGAAGTAGCTCAGCGTAGGCGAAAGCAGTCTCTGGAGAAAATAGAGGCTACTGAACAAGCTGTAAAAGACCTCCTAGAGGCAAATTTCATTTCAGAGGCCAAGTACACTACTTGGCTGTCCAATGTTGTACTTGTAAGGAAATCAAATGAAAAATGGAGAATGTGTGTTGATTATACCGATCTTAATAGGGCATACCCTAAAGACGCATATCCCCTCCCCAACATAGACAAATTAGTTGATAATTCTGCTGGTTTTAAATTATTGTCCTTCATGGAAGCTTATTTGAGCTATAACCAAATACCCATGACCAAAAGTGATGAAAGGTATACAAATTTCATGACCAAGTCGGGCAACTATTACTACAACGTAATGCCATTCGACTTGAAAAATGCTGGCGCTACCTACTAAAGAATGATGAACAAAGTCTTCCGAGGAGAGATCAATGATATGCTTGAAGTCTACATGGATGACATGATCGTGAAATCCCATAAGGAATCCGGCCATACGCTCCATCTGAAGAAGGTATTCGAACAGGCCAGGAAGTACATGACGCGCTTCAATCCGGAGAAGTGCATGTTCGGGGTGCGAGCAGGAAAGTTCCTCGGTTTCTAACTAACAGAACGAGGAATCAAAGCCAACCCTGAAAAATGCAGAGCCTTATCCGAATTCCCTACACCGAGGTCGAAGAAATCGATTCAATCTCTAAATGGGATGCTCACATCGCTGTCGCATTTCGTGGCAAAATCTGCTCAGCACGAGCTCCCCTTTTTCAAACTTCTCCATAAAGAGGCAGCCTTTGAGTGGACTGAGGAATGAGACAAAGCTCTCCTCCACATAAAACAAACACTATCAGAACCACCGGTCTTCTCCTGGCCAGATAAAGGGGAGATCCTCTATCTCTATCTCGTCGTCGCAATCGAGGCCGTTAGCGCTGCCTTTATTTGTGAAATCCTGAGGGGCAGAAGCTTATATACTTCACGAGCAAGGCACTATAAGGACCGGAGCTTAGATACCAGTAGATCAAAAAAGTATCCCTGGCCCTCATCAATGCTGCAAGGAGGCTGAGACACTATTTTCTAGCCTACAAAATTGTGGTGCACACAGATAAGCTCATGAGGCAACTGTTAGGCCGCCCAGGCATGACCGGAAGAATGCTCAAATGGTCACTAGAACTGTCTGAATTCGACATCCATAATGAGAGCATGAAAGCTCTCAGAGCTCAGGCGCTAGCCGACTTTATGGCAGAGATGACCTTGCCCGACTCCCCGACTTGTGAAGTTCGTAGGCGGATAATCTTTGTCAACGGAGCGTCCAACTCAGGAGGGAGCGGAGCAGGAATCATCCTGGATAACAAGGAAGGTATCCTTGTCAAGGTCTCGCTTACCCTATCTTTCCCTACCTCCAACAACTAGGCAGAGTATGAGGCTTTCCTCGCAGGTCTGCGTCTTGCTGAAGATTGGGAGCCAAGAAAGTCGTAATTTGCACAAATTCTCAAGTCGTGGCCCTCTAGGTACAGGGAGAGCATCAGGAAAAGAACTACAACCTATCCGAATACTTGACCTTGGTTAAGGAAAAAATGACGAAGTTCACATCGGTGGAGGTAAAGCACGTTCCCCACAAACACAATATCCGGACAAATGTCCTGTCAAAGCTGGCGAGCACAAAGAAAAAGGAAGGAAACAAATTCGTCATCTGGGTGGTACTTCCTCAACCTAGCATCAAGAGAACTCCCACGATCCTAGACGTGCACGTCATTGGCGACAACAGCTGCTGGATGACCCCA